TTTCCCTACTTGTCCCTCTCTTATTCCTACTGATAACCTTTTCCAGTCTCTACCTTCACTTTGTTTTTCCTGGTTGCTCCATTTTCCTTCCTAATCTCCCAGCTTTCCTTGCCTTTTCTCTCCCTGCTTTCCATCAGCCTGCCTGCAGGTCTCAGCTCAATGCTTGTGTCCCATCTAACTCCACTCTTGCTGTCTTCTAATGTTAAAATGGGACATGTCTTCTCCTCCTACCGGACTAATGAGTTTGTGCTTCCTGCCTGCCTTCTCTGCTTTGAGACCCACAGAGGCTCTGTCCTGTATCTGTTACATACCCACTGAATTGACCCCTTGCTTGTCCTGGGAAGTGATATAAGTGGTTGAGTGCACTCAGTTATCTCTGTCCAAGAGCTCAGCCTTCCTTTCTCCTTTTTTTTAATTTTTTTTTTACTTCCTCCTGGTTTCTTCCCATACTTCCATAGCTGGCAAAAGCTTGCAATTGTGGGAAGACCTCCTTGTAAATCAACCTATGTGCAGGCCTGACAGCAAGCTGTTGCAGACTTTTGGCTCCAGGCATTGTTTAAGATCTTAATGCATTCTCCTGCTGTGTGGTATTGAGTCAGGCCAATTTGCCTGTAATTACAAAGTAAGCGATGAGATTTGCAGTGACTGCTGTCCACATCACAGTTGTAATGTGCCAGTAAGGGAGGTGATGCCTTTTTAGGACAAAAGGTCAAGTTTATAATCTCGTGAGTTGTATGTGTGGGGTGGGGGGGGGGTGGTGGGTTGGGTTTTTTTTTTGGCTGGGTGGCTTAAGAAAAATGTTCTTAATATTGATAGAGTATATGTGCAATGGAGAATATTTTATTGTTTTCAAATATTCGTCCTTGACCTTCTGACATGCTTCAGAATAAGCATCTCAGAGGGACTAATCTTTCCTATTATGTCCCTGACTGCAGCGTTCTTCCCCGAATGAGCAGGGTGAGCAAACCCTTACCTTCTCAGAGCTGACTACACTGTATGAATCAGCCTGCAGAAAGTGTGTGTACATAGAGCCGGAGCCTGCCTAAAGAGTTGTGGGTACTTCTCACAGTATTAGGCCTCTAGGAGTACTCTCAGCTCCTTGGAGACCAAATGTTGCTTTTGTGACTAAGCTGCCTCAGCCTGAGAAGCAATGCTTTCTGTTCCCACTCTGTAAATCTTGTAGGACACATCAAAGGCAAGCGGCTTTGTGGTGCTGAGGTATTTTCACATTTGTAAGCGTGGGGTATGTATCACTGCTAAAATGTTAATGAGAATAAAGCCTGCTCCTAAGCCAGGGTGGTCAATGACTGTTGTCTGTTCTACTCTTAAGCAGGCATGGATGAAAAGCCAACGATTGCATTTGCCACAATACCTACAGCCAGCCGTGTTATTCAGACAGTCGCCAGTCAAATGGCACAGGGTGTTCCAGGACAGACAGTCACAATCCTTCAGCAGGCAGCTCCAGTGGCTATTGGACAGCATCAGCTCCCCGTGCGGGCAGTCACTCAGAACGGGAAACATGCTGTCCCCACCAACAGCATCACCGGCAGTGCTTATGGTAGGCTCTGTTTCCATTGCTTTCTGGTTTCTGATGGCTCTCTGAGCTTAGCAGTTTGGTTGTAAAGCTGTAAGGGTTTTCTCCACTTAGCTATGCAAGTTATTCTATGTGTCCAATTCCAAAGTTTATCAATTCTTCAGCTTCTGTGGCTGTAAATGTCAGTGGTAGATATCCTTCTGTCCACCTCTGCTTACTCCCTTTCCCTAGTGGAAAAGGTTTTTTTGCTATCTACCACTGCTTCTGAAAAGTCCAGTGTCTTTCCTGTGTCTTTGGCTATGCATTTATTACTACTTATGCTCCCTACCTTTTGAGGGTTACTTGTTGAAAGCGTTAGTGATTCTTGTGTAGAGCCTGTTTTCATTTGTTTTCCTCTGACAAACAGCCTTTGCTTTTCAGCATGCCAAATAATAAAATTTCCATGGTGCTCTTTAGATCTTGTGAAATATGACTCCATAGAGTATTAAGAAAATAACATACTTTCCCATCTTAAGGTCTTAGAGCCTGAGAGAAATAAGATCTATTTCATCAGGTTAATGAATGTAGGAATTTTTTATATACAGGATGTGTTCTAGTCATTTGTCAAGCCTGATTTTTTTTTTTTTTTTTTTTAAATCCCATACTAGCTATGTCTTGGCAGCTGCCTCTTATTGCTTGCTCAGCACCTCGGGTTTTTTCCAGTTAAGAATGATGACTGGCGGTGGTAATATCCAGGTTTTTTCCTCCCCTTTTCAATGAGATGCTGAGCACCTCTGCTGTCCCAGGCTGGTGCTTACAGGGAGTTTGAAATGAAGGGCACTGGTGGGATTTTGATGGCTTTCACGAAGTGGAGTGTTTTTACAGAATTTTCTTCCATATCTATTCACAGTATCACCTGACTTGCACTTGAATTGCAGGAACCTTATTGGAGCAATGAAAAAATAATAGCAGTAAGGTTTTTGTGCAACTAAAATATTAAATAGATCAGATAGGAGGAGTTGCTACTACACAGCACTAGTGTTTATCTAATGTAGAATCAGACAGGTTTTTTATTTAACACTTTTATGTTAAGATATTGTAATCTCACTAAAATTTTTCTAGCACTCTCATCAAATTGGAAAGTATTGCAGTTGCATCTGAGTGGGGTTTTTTTTGTAAGCGATAGTGAATTTTCTGGTTGACAAAACAGAGCCTGAGTCTCTTGATTCTCGTCTGTACGCAGTTTTAACTTCTCTTCAGCCGCATGGTTTAGGTTCTCTAAGTCACTGAACTGTAATTGGTGACTGCCTTCATCCTTATCCTATTTTTTCCTTCATCGTCTTGATACTCTACAGCCTCCTTCCCATGCCTTGGTAGAAGTTGCTGGCCTTTGAGGGCCTTTGTTCTCTTTGCTTTGTTTATTTATCCTAGGGCTCCTTTTTTGATGCACTTAGCAGTGAACACACTACTAATGTTCTGTCATTCCATCCTTTGCAAATCAGTCTGGAGGGCAGAGGGTGTGCTGTCTCCTGAGTCCCCTTTGGCTGCCTCTCCGATTGATGCAGAGTCCAAAAACTGCATGTGTTTTGTTTTCCAAGCAGTGTTGTGTGCCAAAGCCAGTGTGTAAGCACATTCTCTGTCTGGAACTAGGAATTGTAGACATTTTTACAGAGGGTTGCTACTTAAATCATCTTTTTTTCTCAGCACTTTTATTAATGGGAGGGTGAGATCTTTGGTCACTACTGGAATACAAGATTGGGAGCCAGAAATTCCTATGTTCTGATCCCAGTTCTGATGGGAACACATTTGAGTGTCTGGGGTAAGCTCTTTCCTGCCCCTTTTACAAGTGAGATGTCAGTACATCAAATATTTGGTTTCTAATCTAGTTTCCCAACAGATTGGCTGTTCTTACTGTGTAAGCAGGGCTAAAGAAGAGCCCTATAAATTGAAGGCACAGCACATGGATGTGGCTTGCAAGAAGTTCTGATTGTAGGTGACCAGAGAACTCCTCTCAAAGAGGAGGTGTGCTGTAATTTTAACAGGGGATTGATTTGTTTGTTTATGATTTATTTCTGGACACCAATGCATTGTTTGACAACAGATAGGAAGAAGGAAGTTTTCCTATGAAAGGGGTTATTACCAGTTTGGTAAGCTTGCACAAAGCTGAGATTGTTGGGGGAGAGGGAGAGACAAGGCTAGCGAGCCTTTCAAAATGGGCTTGAAAACAACACTTAAATATGTGCCAGCTATCGCATTTGACTGTGATGTTTTGTTTTATTGCTTTCTGGAATAGCAAACACTTGTGCTACTTCATCACATTAATTCTCTTTCTCTCTCTTGTCCTGCTTCCCAGCTCTTACAAATCCATTGCAGCTTCTTGCAGCCCAGGCCAGCTCGTCCACTCCTGTTGTAGTCAGCCGGGTGTGCGAGACAGGGACCGAAGAGACAGCAGCAGCCTCTTCCAGTGAACCTGAAGTCAAAAGACCCCGGATAGAAGAGTCCAGTGGAGCAGTCCCAGCCCAAACTGGAGTCATCACACCTACAGTGCCACAAGGACAGGCAACCAGTGAATGAAGAACCGGTGGGAGGAGCTGGAGTGATGTGGGGTGGGCATGGGATGGCAGCAGCCCCTAAAGCAGCAAACTTTCAAAGAAAACAAACCACAACTGTAACAGCTCAAAACGTAGTGGATAAAGAGTTCTTTTTAAAGTCAGATTTTTAAATGGGAGGTCAACAGCTGTTAGAATCACAAGGTGCCAAAAAGAATGGAAAACCCCTCCCAAGAACCCGTACCTGGAACTCTCTTCTGTCTTTACCTATGGGATTTTTTTCCTTTTTTTTAAAAAAAAAAAGATTCAAAAAAAAATACAGACAACTGATTGTATGACTGCTGGGATATTTTTAACTGTCTTTTCCCCTTTTGGCTCCAAGGGGATGGGATTTGCAGTTCAGCATCTAAAGGAATGTAACACAAATACAATCTGCTCCCTGGAAAGAAAACTCCTCATTTTCTATGCCTTAATACTGTGCTTCTCAGAGCTTTGAACCATAGGACCATTTTAAAAAGGCCACCTAAGGCAATCAAATGCTGAAAGATGGGTGCAGTATCTCACAACAGCAGCATTAAAGAAATGTGGTACCAAGTTTAATGAAAAAGGCAAATGATTTTGGTTTTTAAAACAGAAAAATTCTGAATATGAACGAATGTTTATTTATGTGGAGATTCAGGAGGAAGAGTTACAGGGCTCAACCAGCTGGATTTCCAGATGCAATTTCTCTCCGTTCCCTCTGAGGGAGAATAAGATGACAGAGGAACTGTATTAATTTGGTTCCTGTAAAGATATTAAAAACAAAGGGTTTTGTACATTCAATGATTTCTTACAGTTATTCATCACTTGCTCTGGACGACAGCCAAAGTACCTTGATGACTGAGGATCACATGGGGAAGGGTGTCTCCAAAAGGTTCTGTGTGCATTTGATTGATCGCATCCTGTGCTGGAGCACCAGGTTTTGTTCAGAATTGCACTGTAGGTGAAGACATTGCCACTGGCTCTGTGAACCTGAGAAAAATACTGGTTGGTCTTCTGCACTAAAGCAGTCCGCCTTCACCTCCTGGTGGTAGTGTGGTCCTCAACTAGATGGATGATGGTCAGGAGGCCAGGGCTGGGTAGGAGTCTGTCACTGACCCTCTGCCATGGCTGACAGCAAAGCCCCTGTGTTATTCTTCTGAGGGAAGTTGAGAGCTGGGCTGAGAGGCAGCAGAGCGCATACAGTGTTTAATACAAATTCTGTAAGTGTGTAGAGACCAAGGCGAAAGAGGCCTTTTCTTTTCCATGTGGCAAAAGTCACTGGAGGTCTTAAACAGGTTTTCCAAAAGGAATTTGGAGGTTTCTTTTCGTTGCCTGGCTCTCCCTCTCCCATCTCTCCTCCCTTGAGGACTCTTTGGGTTGGCCAGTAGGAGGCGGCTTTTACTCAAACTGTATTCCAGGTTCTTCACGTAGGACAAGTATGTCTTATGAGTATAGAAGATTTGAGTCACTTCAGCCACGTGGAACAGTGGGTGAGTGCAACACTGTGTGACTGGCAAAGAAGTCAACCTCTGCATAGCCTCCGGCTTAAGCCCTTTGGTTTTACACCTGTTTGTGATCCCCTTGGCTAACGTGTCTTCTGGCAGCACAGCAGAGATCTTTTAATTTAGAAAATGTTATGGCTTTGGTAATGGCAAAAGAGACTTAAGAGGGATGGGATATGCCTTTGGTAGGTTATACCCCTATCTGTACTGATTTATTGTCAGGTTGCTGTCTTGTACAGTCTGATAATGCTATCGCAGAGCAGAGAAGCAAGCCCACTGCATAAACATGTTGCAAAAAGATTTCCCCAGTGTGCAGTAAATGATACTGGCAGTATGTCCATGGGGATTAGGGGGTAAGGCACAACCATTCAATGTCAGCTGGAATTTGGGGAGGGGGAGGAAATCTGCAAGGTAACAGCTGGCATCACTTGTTCCCTTCTAGGTTTCCTTTCTCTTTGCCAAATCTTATTAAATAGCCAAGTCCCACTGCTTGAATAAAACCCAGCCATGTTTTATTCTCAAGCCAATTGTTTTGTGAGAAATATTTCTGAAAGAAGGAAAGAATTTCCTGGTCTCGTGATTTGCGGTTACTTTCTGCACTTAGAGGCACACAAAATATTCAGGACGGTTCATTTATCTACAGCTAGGCTTTCATAATTTAGGTGTGTGCCTTTAGTGACAAGTTACTTGATTGGATTTTAGTCCTTTTGAAATGATTTTGTGAAGGAGGATTGTTACAGACCACAAAGTAATTGAAGCAGGCCAGCCTCCAGCTATTACTTTTCCTGCTAGGAAGGCTAGGTGTGGCATAGGGAAAAAGCACACGGATTAGCTTTGTTTTCTGCAGCCCTTTCAAAGCCAGAATTCAATAAAATGGACTTCAAGGAAGAACACACAAGTGAGAGTGCAGCATAGTTTATCTGTGATTAATTGTTACTGCTGGTGATTGTTGGTTTAGATACAGGCACACCTCTGAAACAGCCCTGAGGCCAGGGAGCTTTCCTGAAGCAGAGAAGTCTTTTGGGTTTCCAGTACGTTGGGTGAGTCAGCGCAAGATGAGCAACCAACAGAATACTGTTCGGGATGTGAAGCTGCCAAATTTTTTGTGGATTTTTCTGTACTGCTGCTTTTCTCATGGCAAGTCTAAATAATTAGGCCCTAAACTTCTGTAAACTAGTCCAGCACCATAGAAATGCATCAGCTGAATCACGGTGTTTTCATACACCAGTTGCTGCTTTATAGATACCTCTTGAAAGTCTGTCCTCAGGTTGCTTGTATAGATCTGCCTCCTCAGTATTTAGAACGGAATCACACTTTGTCACTCTTCCTTTTGTGGCTCACAATGCTTGCTCGTTAAAATGTGAGTTGAGGATAAGCATATATCTTTGATCTGTTCACCCATGCTGCTTGAGGTGCCTGGAACTTGTCAGTTCATGCTATCGGGGGCTTTTTCCTTTACCAGTCTGCTGCATCCCCCTGCTACTGTAGGAAGCAGCCATGCCACTTGAAAATTCTCTTTTTGGAGGTTTGCCTGTATCGTTGCCTGATACTAGGTGAAGTAAAATTCTTACTGAATCCTGTTGAGAGCTGTGGAAAAATGTGGCCCTTATCTGGAACACATGAGATGGGGGGACATCTTGTTTCAGGCCTGCAGATTAATTCTTTTAACACACTGCTCAGTCGGGAAGGCAGCACTACTCTTTTTTTTTTTTTTTTTTTTTTTTTTTTACATATCAGTCCTGATTCTCCAGGCTTTCATTTCTAAGCACTGCAGAGGAATGAAATTAATGTGATGGTAGAATTAAGCATTCAACTAGAAAGAAAATACTACCTTAATGGTTATATGCAGTACTCAGATTATTTTTAAATTGATAGCCTAACTTATTTTCATTGTCTAAAAAGTTGCACCTCATGTACTCAATTTATATTAACTGAGGGAGGTCTGAAGGAGAGGAGTAGGAGGCTTCACTGCATTTTCTGCTGTCTGTATAACAAAGGTCAAGGCATGTTGAATATTTAACCTGCTATAACAGACCTGGGAAAACTTTAAAACTGAGTTCTTAATGTGTGAATTCACTTTCCACTGTTCCCTATTGAGATTTTTTTTTTTCCTAATCTTAGGCAATGACAGACTAATTTGACTTTGCAGTCAGTTCATAGCAACTTCTGTTGCCTCAGTTTGCAAAAGCTGAATGCAGTTGTTGATTTTATTCCACTGGAATTCCTTAGTTATTGTTTTGTCTTGACCTTGGCTCTTGTGGTACAGGAAGCTTTTTACAGTGAGATCAATTTAATCTGATTTAGTGATAACACAACACAGTGCTGAGCACAGAATTGAAGTTCATGATTAGCTCGTACATTCTTTTCAACTCCTTTTTCTTCCCATATTTTTCCCTCCCCCATACTATTAACGCTGTCCCCTGTAGCATATCCAGTCACTTCTATGCACTGATGGGAGCAGCACCTTGCATTGAGCTCTGTCCAAAGACTCAAGGATGAAAATACCTGTGGGATACATGGGGCTCCAGAGCCGGTTGAGGAAGGTCAATTTGGTCACCCTGTATTTAACTTTCATGCTGTGTTTTAGACATGTTACTGTTGGGCACAGCTTGTTCAGGAGTGTGTTTTCAGAGACATGTTAAAGCTTAGTAAGAGGAAAAAAATAGTTAAATAACAGCTGAAGCCTTTACAGTGCTTCTGCAATCAATGTCATGGTCTGGCTTCAGGTTTTGGGGGGAGTAAACTTGGTTTTGCATGTCTTAGACATCTGTCTTGGGTACTGACTTAGAACTATCATTCAGAGTTAACTTCCACATTTTTTCCCCTTTTTCAGTAGGGAAATGCTAGCAGTAAAATAAAACTTGAAGCACAGAAGGCTATAGGGACCTATATCTAAGCAAGTGAGAGCATGTGACCTGAGCTTTCATACAGTGTGGTGTGGAACACTTTTCACTGACCACTGGGAATGTTAAATTGATGTTAGAGCTTTTCATCTGTGTTAGCAAGGAGGTTTCCCAGTGAGATACTTGGTATCACTCTGATGTGTGCTAGCATATAAATGGACGTCAAAATGTAGGGTGAAAGGAGAAACTTCTCCCTGCCGTACCTAGGTTTGGGGATCTTGGATGACAAGGATTTAATCTAGCAATAGTTCTGTACCTTTCCATAGAGGATCAAAAGCTGTTTCTTCAAGCTTATTGCAGCGAAGGATTAAATTCCAGCTGGCTGGTTGTTCCATCTTTGTTCCTGAGGCTTAAACTGTGACTTATAAATTATAGTTTATCACTGTGATAAACATGGATCGCATAAAACTTCAGTAATAGGGAGGATCAAATCTCTATTTGTTGTCTCTGCCATTGGCCAGTTGCAGCTGTGTAGAAATATAGAATAACTTGGGTTGGAAGAAACCTTTGGAGGTCTCTGCTATACCCTCCTGCTGAGAGCAGGTCCAACTAGATCACGTTGCTGTGACACCTTGTCCAGCTGAGGTTTGAATGTCTCCAGAGGTAGAGGTTCCATGACTCTGGTCCCTGTTCCACTCTGACCACCCATGAGGTGAAAACTTTTTCTCAGCTATCTAAGATTTCCCATGCAGCTGCATGTGTTTGCCTCTTGTCCTCTCACATCACACCTCTACGAAAAGCCTAGCTCTGCCTTCTCTGCATGTTCCAAATAGGTAGTTGAAGACACCAGTAAGATTTTCCCCACTTGCTTCCTTTTCTTAAGGCTGAACCATCCTGGTTGTCTTGGTGTCTTGTACACAACGTGCTCAAGCCCCCAGGGCATCAGGTGGAATTGCTGCAGAAGGTCCCTGTCTGTATTTTGCTGGGGAGCCCGAAACGGACACAACGTACTCCAAATACAGTCTGACAAATGCTGGATGGGGTAGAAGAAGAATCACTTTCCTTGGCCTGCTAGCTACA